GGAAAACCGGAGTACTCGGAGAAAAACCCTCGGAGCAAGGCTAGAACCAATAACAAACTCAACCCACATATGGCCCCGGGCCGGAATCGGACGTGAGCCATATTGGTGGAAGGCGAGCGCTCTCACCACTATGCCATCCCTGCTCCCCCTAGGCTTGGCGCGTGACAGGAAACGGTTACTTGGGGCCCTTTCCATTTGTATGAAAAAAAAAGATAAATAAATGGAACAGTACCATTTGCTTTTTCACACTATTCCCAAGCTCCTTGATGAAAAACGCAGTCGTTTCGGTGGGAAATGAAAGGGAACAGTCTTTTCCACTGAAAGGTTTTCGAATGCTCCCAATGGTACAAACTCGTTCTGTCCCATTTTGTTTGTTGAAAAGTTGTACTGTTTTATGTGGCGAAAAAATCCCAATGATTTTTGCCACGGAAATTGAAAGCGTTGTAGATAAATAATTTTGCACTATTAACAAGTATTTTGTTTATTTTTTCTTTACAGAGGAGCAGGTTGACGTAGACAGGTAAGACATAAGCAAGGTGATAGTACTGTTGCGTTTGTAGATGTGATTGTCAAGGTAACCACACGTCACATAATTGTAAAAAGTGTTTTTGAAACTTACTTAAGCAGTTGTTTGTCGTTTGATTGGCTGGGAAGTTTTGAAAACCAGCAAACCAACACCAAACAGTTGCATCTGCGTAGTTGGAGAACAGATCGCATCGCTGTAAGCGGGAAATCAACTTCCGTATCTGTCAAGCAATTTGTAATCTCAGAATTCTCCTTCCTATTTTCCAGTTTCAAAGCAAGAGTGTGCATCATTTTGTGGCATGATTTTGCTGCTGACAACAATGTTCATGTCACGTATCAAACACGAAAGACCGTGTTTGATACATGACAAACACCGAGAAGAGAGTTAAAAATACGACGTGTAGCGGAGTATTTTTGTCGAACTTCGAGGTGTTTGGAAATGTGGTTAAACGCCCTGAGTGTTTGATACATCTTCTCAATCGAAACTAAAACTAAGTAGAAAATGGAGAATTAAAATCGTAAAAATCTATGTTAATTAAGATCCTATATCCAAACACTGTCGCGGTCATGATTTCCTTTGTTTTTTTTTTTACCATGACCAGTTTCGTCATTTCCATTATTTCTCAGGATGTGTATCTTCTGCGGCGAAAAGAATGAATCGTTCACTGAAGAAATGTTAGACATGCATTACTGGAAGAGCTGTCCCATGTTAAAAAGATGTGACCACTGTGCTCAGGTAACGCACCCTTCTCTCCCTTGAATGCCAATTTGAGTTTGATAACTTGGAGTGGCAAAATCCCATGTCATACTTACCTTCCCCTCCTCTCAGGTGACAGAAATCTCAGGCGTCAGCGAGCATCTGCTGACTGAGTGTGACTCCAGTGACAAGTTTGCTCAGTGTCCGCGATG